CTTTCCCTGTATTTATAATTTCTGCAGTCCTGGATGTGCCAGAACAACCTCCTCCAACAGCTAATAAACAAGCATTCATTTGCTTTTACAGATTAGTCTTTAGTCCCTTGTCTTGAAATGGTTTAAATAGTTGGGCAGAGTGTAACATGGTAATTTGGATAGTTTTACAAGGAAAAGTCTGTGTTCACACTGACCACAGAAATACTGCTTTCTACAGCTGTGTTTAAACATAAATGTGCCATACTAATCCGAGAGAGGATAAGGCCATTGACATAGTACAGCAGGCCAAGTCCATAATGGGCTAAGCGCTACAGCAGTGGTCACCAACCAGTTGATCTCAATTGACTGGTCAATCGTGGAGCCTCTGACATTTGATCTCAGTCCGTCAGAGGCTCCATGACTGGGAGAGGCAGGATGCATGTGGCTGAGCTAAGCCATGCCCCCTGCCGCCTGGGCTGGGCTGGGTAAATGAGGTCAAATCATGGCCACTTGTCCGGGAGGCGTGGGGCTGGGGGAGTGGGGCAGGGCAGGGGTGGTAGATCTTGGGGTGTCCTTTACTTACAAAAAGTGATATTCACCATAAAAAGGTTGGAGACCACTGCCCTACAGTATACTGTGTTCTTCTTTATGCTGGTTCCAATAAATACAGAGCACGGCAAGCTCAGGAGGAAAGGAGAAGACAAAACAGTTTACCTTTCCTTTAGGACTCTTCTGGTTAGCTGGATACATAAAAATCCCACCGTACATCAGCGTACGATGAACATCAGCCACCATGGAGCCCACGTATCTGGCACCATAGGGGGAACTGCCATCCTGTAAGAACAGATAGAAACTTGGAAGCTAACTGTTAAATCTCCCAGGCCAGCTAGCTGGCAGCATAGCAAGTATCAATGTTCACTCCATTTTGTTTTAAGGCAGGAATCACGTCATCACTTATAAGGTGCTGTAAATGTTGACAGGCCTTAAGTATGATACACCAGCTCCTGAAAAATGTAGTCATTTCACTGTGATTCCAGCATAAAGGCTGTACCAGTCTTTACTCTTCTCTTCTGGGCTGGATAAGCTATTCTGAAAGCACGTGTGCATGCTATTTCAGTTCACAAAAAGGCAATGCCATCTCTCCACTGGGCCTAAGCACTCTGTCCTAGAGAGCCAGTAGGAGCTGAACATGACTTTACTTCATCATGTGATCAAAAGATGGGTCTCATCAGCTGCCATTCCCCAAGAATGAAAATGCAATGACTTCCATCTTTATTTTGGAGATTAGCTCGGGGGATTGAGAGTTATTTGTGTGCATGGATTTGTTTAATTTGATCGTTTATTAAAGAATAAAGCAGTAAGGAAATAGATGCCTGTCAAACTTGGCAGTGGTCATTTAATCTATGATGATTTTTTCCATTAGACTATATTACTACCACTTGAAGCATTATAGTAATATTTAGCAAAAGACATTAGAAATGTACCTGTTCCTTGTTCCTAATAAAATTATGGCTCTCATTGTTGCCTATTTTATTTTTTGTTCAATGCATATGATTGCAATGAGCACATAGTAAACTAACTACAAATATAAATTTATTAAAATCATCTCAGTCCATCTGTTTAATACGCATTCTTCAGTGGGTAAATGCAAATAATCTAAAGCGGTGTGTATAGGACTGATATAACTGGATCTTATTAAGGTATTCTTTCTAGCGAATAACCAAAAGGTGACTGCAGTTTACAAGATAAAGGTCTCATTCTGTCACTGCTAAAGTGCAGGTGTACTGCTGAACTTTCACAAAGCCCTGTTTCCATGCAGGATTGCATATGTATCTGTCAATATGAAAAATCCAGTGCTATTTTTATGTTTACTTCAAAAGATGCATACAGTTCAGCCTTTTCACAGCTGCAACTTAACATCTATTATGTTTCCCTTTCAAATGGGAGAACTCATAGATACTGCAAGACTTTTGGAATATTGCCCAAGCAAATCCAACAGGGCCATGAACATCGATGAAATATATGCTTGCCCCTGATTAGACTCTTAAATGTCTAATTGCATAAGCATCTGATGAGCATTTAATATTGTCCCAGTGTGTGTCCTAATGAGAGAGAGGGGGACTTCCAAGTTTTCTTGATATAGTCTGGGGACTCTGAGTAAACTTGAACAGCTTGTCAGTTTTATCCTTTAATGATATTCTCATGCTTAAACTGAGAAGATTTAAAACGTTTACAACGTGTAGTTTCTGTGAAGTTTTCCCACAATGTTATGGAAACTTTCTCTACTGCCTCTTCACTTCTATTCATTTTTCTTGGAGCTGTGCTCTTCTACAGAGGGCCAGTGGGTCTGTCTACACTACATCCTCCATGATCACAGGCATGTCCCACCTACCCATTCCTACTCACATATAAAAACAGAAAATGCAGTGGTGAAGCTGCTCCCGGAGTGACCCACATGGTCATTTGCAAACACACTGGAGACATAGGTCTCTGGAGCCACTTCCAGAGCAGCTCCATCACCACATTTCTGAGCTTGGCATATGGGAATGAGAGAAGCTGGAAGGGCATGATGGAAAGTAATTCTTCCCTGAGAATGTCTTCTTTGGATTTGGTCCTTAGGCTCTGATCTGATATTTTCAAGCAATCCTGTGGGCATTTGAGGGGGGGAAGGGGGGAGTCTCATGAACCAATTTGTGGCTTTTATATCTCATTTGCTTCAACTTTGGGCCACAAAAAGGCTCCGTGGTCAGAATTTTGTTTCCTTTGCAAGTAATCCTGAGGACATTTTGTGGCTTTTGTCTGTTTAATGAATTGATTTGTACCTGAAAACAGAGTCTATAATTATTTGTGCATGCAAATGTTCATGCTATTTTTCAGAATTAGGCTTTTATATCTTGTTTGCTTCAACTTCAAGTTAAATCAACTTAAAAAGATGTTATGGTCAGATTTTTTTTCCCTTTGCATTATTTTCAGAAGTCTGTTTGGAGCCTTGAGACCTGAAGCAGGGAGGGAGGGAAATAATCTATCACAGTGGCTTGAGCCTTTCCAAAGCAAAGACCCTCAACTGTGCTGGTTTGCCCCTCATTTTGATGATATGGACAAATGACCCCCTGAAACCAATCAGCAGCTACCTTTTTCCATAAGATCTTCCCCAAATGAGTAACTAGTGCATTAACACAGTATTACCTTCAAAGCTAGAAATAAGGACAAAACCCTCTTCTGCTTGTTCGATATGTTATCTCAGCACTATTTTCAGTACCTAGCCCCCTACCCTCCACCCCTCCAAAGGCACACAGAGCCAGTTTTAAACAACATGTTTGTGCAAATGAGGTTTGAACAGTATGTCCTTACCTGCAGGATTTATTGAGTCATAGGACACAAGTGTGCTTACTAGTGACAGGTATTCTGCAAAGGCAGTCTCAGGGCAGTAGTGAAAGGTCACTGGATTCCATTGTCTGATGTTTTCTCTCACCCTTTGCAATGCAAGTGCATGCTTTGCAGGTTGCTTGCTGTTTTTATTCCAGTTGTCAGGTAGTTTAAAGAAAAGTAGATTCTGTTCTGAATTGATGGTTTGAAGGTTCATATATGAAGGAGAATGTGCACAATATCGCACAAGTACACAATTTCTGTTCTACTTTTGGGAAATTAGAAGGCCATAGACTGTTTTCCACTTCCTTCAAAACTAGACTTGAGTTGCTTACTTCTTGTTTTCGAACGAAACCATATAAATGGCTGTGACATCTTTTGTAGTTACAAGCTAGCACAATGAGAGAGAATGCCTGACTCAACTTTGAGAAAAACTATGTCCACACTTTTCAGTGTTGCAAGATAAAATTTACAGCTTAAGAACATGTCACAAAAGTATGACCTACAGCCTTATGCCAAACTGTGATCTCAGCAGGCTTAAAGCTAAACAGCGTGACTGTGCCAATACTTGGATTTTTGTTCTCCCAGGAAATCACAGGGTGGTGCAGATACAAAGCAGGCTACTTCAGCTGTTAGTGAACCAGTCCCCCAGTACCGTGTTTTGGGGAAGTTTATTAATGGAATTCCCATTTCTAAGATTAGATGCAAATTATATATTATTAGAAATTGTCAAGACTCCTAATTTGCTTGAGATATATATAGGTAGATATCTTAAGGCATTTATTTGGCAAAAACACAGTTAATTCCAGCCCTGCAGAACTTCCCATAAGGAATTGCAAGAGGAATTAGGGTCTTACCCAAACATAGAGGGATCTTGCCCTCTACTTCAAATGGTACAATATAAACTCCTTATAGTAGTGGTGTTCAATCTTTAGCCTACAGGCCAAATCTGGCCCACAAGGTTCTCTATGGGTCCAGAAATTTGGCTGCAGGGAAACTGTGGCAGCTGGAGCACAGGGTCAGGGCCATGGATTAGCCCCCTACCACTCTTCTAGACTGTAGAGCTGAAACTTTGACTTCTATTGTTATAGAGCAAATAGGGTTTTGGTCAACCTTGGGTGCATCTACATATTGCTGTACAGCAATGTTGCTATGGCGCCATGCTGTAGTACTTCCTTTTGGAAGTATTAAAGCATGGTGCAGTACGGGTGGTTACTGCGCCATGCGCATGTCACATGGTTAAATGTCATTGCTACATCACCGTAGCAGTGCACTATACCCAGGGAGTGTACCGCTACGGTGACATAGCTAGCAATCACATGTAGACCCACATGATCACTATGTCACCATAGTACACCATATGGTGATATAGTGCACTGCTACGTCACCATAGGGCAACATGTAGACGCACCCCTTGTTGCCCTTTGGGTTATTTTATGTCCTATATGGTGCTGCGAGAAAGCAACCTGTTCTCTTTGGGAAACAAAAGAGTTGCAACCATACCCAGCTTCTGCACCTGCCTGTGCTATGGAGGAAGTGGGGAGGTTTTTTGCACCCTATTATCCAGCACAGACCATGAGCAACAGTGTAAATCCAACCCAGAAAAGAGAATTGTGCACATATCTAACATAACTATATTCAAATGTATTTGAAAAATAGATACACATCCACATTTTTCATGCACATTTTCAGAAGCTGTGAAAAATCTGTCTCTGTCTGTACCATATCCTCCTTCAGACTGTTACAGAATAACAATGAGTTCATTTGCCACAGCAAAGTTTTAGTTATAAAAGATTTCTATGGTACTGGAAGCCGAAGTATATAAGCCATGTAGCTAAATTGAATATAAAGTTGACAAGGAGTTTCATTCAGCAAATTTACCCTTTTTGAGCAATACTGTGGTCAAAGTGGTATTAGTTATCGATCTCTGAGTTGGTTATAAAGCTACTATTTCTTACCTCAGGGAATTTCTTCTTTTGTAAATATTCTGTCATTGCAGGATCAAAATACTTGGCATAACCTTCATTGAGACTGTAGGTCTTCCCTTTCTTCTTGATTTTCACATCTTTATCCACTAAAATGAATTCACCAAGAGCCTACACAAGAATGGGATGGACCAGTTACCATCAGGCAGCAGATCTTGTCTACTGTCTGCCCAAGATGCCACACTAGAGAAAGATTTCAAAGATTTTAGGACAGCTTGGTCCTTTAATCAGTATTCAGTTATATTAATCAAACGTATCATGAGCACAAAAGGCCGTGTTAAGTACAGAAAAACCTGCCACATCCTTAATATGAGCAAAAAGCAGCTCAGAAATAAGTATTAACATAATCAGATGGATACTGATCCAGTACCGTCAGTGCCAAAAGTTGAAAAAGCATGATTCAATTCCTTCCCTCACTTCGATGTTCTTTAAAAGAAGGATTATGTAATGCCTTCTGAATTCTCAAGTTCCTACTGCTTGTCCCCATTGTGTGTGTGACAGTTAATGCTACTGTCAGTAGCTGATCAGTTAACTGATAGTATGGAGTTTCCAGCTTCTTCCCAAACCCCAGTCAATTCTGCCCCCATTCCACACATCAGTTCTGCCCCTTTAATGTCCAGCCTCAACCCTCACCAATTCTGACTCCACAGATGGTCTGCTTGAAGTGATCTCCTCAGTAAATTATTTCTAGAGTTTATGTACATTTGGTGAACATTCTGTACTCATTGAAATCAAGGGAAAACTCCTATTGGTTTCAATAGAGTAATGATTTCTTATAATGGTTAAATAAAGCCCTTTTATTGTTTGACAGAACTTATGCTGTGTTTCCAAACAAGCTATTTCCTTCTCAGGTTCCTCCAACAATACTGTCTAACCTTCAGGATTTGACACTGAGAAGCTGTGCCCATGTTTTTGGGCACAATTTTTCATTTGCCAACAACTGAGTATACAGTTCAGAGCATGTAGAAATGCACCTCCCCAACCTGAACATGTCGTTATCTAATTGGGTGTAAACTGTATTACCACTTGCATGTACCCCAACTAGACATGAAAGCAAGTGCCTCTTAAAAAGGAAAAGAAGGAAGGCAGTTACTTAGAGGCAAAGGTAATGCTCATGAATGAGTTTTCTTAAATGTTTCCCAATGCAGGACAATGATATAGATGGAAAGTGAATGTATAGAGGCAAACCTTCAAATTCTGTCTAAATAAGTCAATCAGAGCATGTGAAACACTAAAAGGTAACAAGAATGCACATCTTATACATACTGGATCTAGCATGAAGCAGTCCACTCCTTGCCCAGTAGAGAGAGCCACCAGTGTAGCACTGCCATACAAAGCATAGCCTGCTGCAACAATATTGCGTCCTGGCTGCAAGGCATCTGTTTCAGACGGCTCATCTTCTGCTGCCTGAAGGAAGCATTAGAATGTTGAAATCTCAATAGAAAATTGAACATTAACATAGAAAATTGAAATCTCAACAGAAAAATAAAAATAAAACCAGCACTTCAATTTAAATGTGAAAGTAGACAAGTAATGTCTCGTTAAGGTTCCCCTTTTCTGTTGACCTAGGGCTTCAGAACAATCAAAACAGACTATGCACAACTCATCCCATTCAAGTTTGATATAAGTGCTTGTGCAGGACTTTGGGAATTTCAGCTATTTGTGTCATGCAAGCTGTAAGATGCAGTCAATGAAACTGTTACCTTAACATTACATCTTTGTTATTCATTTACAATTACCAGGAACCCTAAGACAAAACAAATGTAGCAATTTCTCTCTTAGCAAAGTTTAATGTGCACAATTGTATATAAAACCTGTATAGTGAAAAACTGCTAGAGGACTACAATATATCATGTAATAAGGATTCCATGCATTAAATATGAGTATGCCCTAGGAAACAGCACTAAAGCACTTTAGAGTATTACAAATATCACAGACTGAAGTTTGTGCAAGGCCTTTGACAGATAAGTAACTTTTCAGCAATCAATTTTCTGCCTTCCTAAGTATTGATATTTCTCTGGCAGAAAAGAAGCCTTCATAAATTATTCTGAATTAAATATATAAAAATATCCATTGTTATATATTAGTTTCACATACGACTTAACTTCAAGGTCTCCAAACCACTGTTGCTTATGATAGTACGGTTCTTATCCAGAGCTGGGCTCAGTTAGCATTGACTACTCAAGATTTCCACTTAAAATCCAGAAACCAAAATCTTTTGATCCACAGAAAAGGACCACCTCTGGTAGAGACAGTGTAGGCTTTTTCCAGCCAACCCTATCAGGTGCCCCAGGCCAGTCCTGACTTACAGACATCACCTCAAGGGATGAGAGAACAAGGGAAGGAAACAAAAGACTTGCCAGCATTGACACTCCGGGCAAGTCATTTAACCCATCTACAAAATAGAGTAGATGGGTTAGTGCAGGGGTGGGCAAAGTCTGGCCCATGGGCCAGATCTGGCTGGCAGTAGACTCCATTTCCCAGCAGCCCCTGCCCACATGGCTAGGACTGGTCTCCATGGAGACCCCAGCCACAGCTGCTCTGTGATAAAGCAAGGCTAGGGTTGCCATGGAGACTGGCTCCAGCCACACTGGCAGGGAGTGCAGCAGAGCAGAGTAGGGCAGGGCAGGGGGCTGCTCCGGAGCCGCTGGGCTCTTGCAATATGGGCAGCTTTGTCCTGGGCTATGGCAGAGCTGCAATCTGTAGCCTGCATGCTCTGGGCAGGGGCATGCAGGCAGCAGATCGCGGCTCTGCCCAGGCTCAGGGCCAGACTGTCATCACTGCAAGGAGCTGGGGCAGAGCCAGGATCTGCTACCTGCACACCCCTGTTTAACATCATTCTTAAAAGGCCTGTAAGCAGCATGACAACTAAATTAATTAATGGGTGATGTTTAGCTGTAAGTGAGGAAAGAAATATGCAGAAAGACCTGATGACAGAACAGAAGACAACAACAGGGTATCTGCAAGTGGATGTGTGGTTGGGGAATCATATTTCAGTTGCTTCTATCTCAAAGGGAGAAATGTATTATTTTTATGATCATGTCAGTTGCTGTACTAACATATAAAAAGATGAATCCTGCTTCAAAGAGCTAACAGCTTCAGTATAACAAAAAGAGAACGAATAGGTACCAGCAAAGGCTAAAGCCTTGCACTCAACGTGAAGCCTGCTCAGTGCTGCTGGACTGGATTCAACTGTACCTGCTTGCCTTATTCTAATGGCAGCAGGCAAGGTATAAGCTGAACTCCACTAGCCACAGCTGAGCTTTGGTTGCACAATGATTCATTAGCCTGCAGCTGCTTCTGAGGTTGTGACTACTTTCAAGCCTCATTTTCCTGCTTCTGCTCTGGCTGCTGGTCAGATGCATCAAGTAGGAAGAATGTGCCCAAAGCAGTCTTCTTGCCTTTTCTTCCCTCTTACCTTCTACACCAGGTATTGTGCAGAGCACTAACAAGCTGGGCTGTATGTATCATGGACTACAAGGTATTCTGGGAATTGTACTTTTCTAGAGCAGCAGTGGAGTTATCTGCTGTTGGGGGAAGAATTGACCATATATTTTGGGAAGTGCAGATGAAGTGAGGGTTGATGGGTAGGTGCCCCTTCCCCAGAGTATGTGCTGTGTTCACCTATTCCATATCATGTTACTGCTCCTGACCACTGATGTGTGTTGGGTTTTTTCGTTTGCTTTTTGGTTTTTGTTTTGTCGGAATCTCAACTTGACTTATTGCACTGCCTAGCTTTCCGAGCTTATTACCTGACCCTAATCAGGGTAAACTGTCCATATCTGTTAGGGTAAATGTCCTTAACAGAGAGAGGTTACGTATATATCTGTGTTCTAGTCAAAGGTATAGCTGTAGCTTGTACTGATGTACCTGAACTAGCTTGGGTCATGGTATCACTGTACCATTTGAAAGCCCAGAGCTCAGTGCCTACTAACTACCTAAATACTTAAGTGGTGTGGCTACACTTGCATTTTACTGTGCACTAGACTTATTTAATGCACAGTAAAGCATCACTGTCTACACATGTACTGCAATTAGTACAGAGTAGATTAATTTACTCTGGCATAGGCTAGTCCTGTCAGACACAGGTACTATCCTATGCCACAATAAATTGCCATGCTTAAGCACACATGTAGACAGTGACATCAGGATTAGCTTACTCTGGCTCAGATTGAGTCAAAGTATATTTGGTCATATGTCTAGGTTTGCCTAAGAAGTACTGTATCTGCCTCTAAGAAAGTAAGTTGCTGCCTACAAAAGCTCATGACTCCTTGAACCAGTTAGTTTCCATGAGCTAGGTACAGACGTTACACTAATGTGCTTTAAGCATGCAGAAAGTGTTTTACAGCTGTAACAGAACAAACAATCATGGTATGTAACGTACTTAAAAATGGTGCATCCCGGTCTAAGCTAACCCTGTACAAACCTAAAGCACTTTCTGTTGTGCTTTATTGAACATCTATGCTGGATCCCATCAAGAACTAACATAAGAGTGCGATTGCTGCCATCCCAGGTGGCATTGCACTAGACTGCTCTAGCCTTGGGGAGAGCTTGTTTGCTCTGCCCAAGCTCCAGGCCAACCCTGGGTCTCTTTCCCAGCAGCCACACCAGCTAGGCTGCAGCACACCACTGCTTAGTCCAAGGTACCACCCTGCTTTACCTTCTGCCTAACCTAATGAAGAATACCTTGCATTCAAAAGCTTGTCTAACTATTCCACCCCTGAAATTTGTCCAGTAAAAGACACTGCCCATAGAAATCCTTGCCTCTTGCACGATTCCTGGACCATCATAGCTACAACAACACTATCTAACCTCTTGTTAGGCAAACAAACTCCTGTTGATTACAATGCCATTCCATTATTTTCAGTAGGAGCTGAAATAAGGACTGCAGGACTTGATAGGGCTGTTCAGAAATTTACTGGAAAATCTGTTTTTGATGGAAAAAGGTATTCAACGAAACACAACTTAAAAAAGAAAAAGACTTGCTTCCCAGAGAAAATGGTGACTATTGAAAAATAAACACCCCAAAACACAAACGATTTCTCTTTTATAATATAAAATGATCGGGGACTCCCAGAATTCACTGCTGTGGCTCAGCATAGGAAGTTAAGTCATGGGCATCCCAGGAATGCAACTAATCCAGGGAGTTTATTCCAGAGACGGGAAGAGGCACATCAACTTCAGTGTTTACAATGCATCAGGGCAGCATTTCCAAATGAAAATTTTCAGTTTTCTGCTGAATGATTTTGGCTGAAATCCTGCTGGGGATTGGATTAGAGTTCTTCTTTCTTTTTTTTTCCCCCTTTTTTTCCATGAGCAACAACTTGCTGAATGGCTTTGCACCAAATCCTGAAATATACCTGCCTCTAGGGTGAAATGCAGTAACTGTTTAACATTGTGTAATACCAGTTATTTATAGAAGGCGGGAAAAGAAGGAAGATTTCGTTGAACTAATGTATTTGTGGGAGGGTGTGCGGGTGGCTTATGGCTTTTTGATAGGAGAGCTACAAATCCCCCCCCCCTTGTTATCACGGGTCAAAACCTGAGCAATGGTAGGTTACACTGAAAAAGCAAAGCACCCTCTGTTTAAGAAAATTAGCTTTAGCTAGAATTCAGCTTGCTTGTCACTTCCTCTTTGTTTCCATATTGTGAACTTCAATAAAACAACAAAAAGGTCCAATTTCAACTGCAACTTTGCAAAGAAAGGGAGGTGCCTCCACAGGGAAAATGAAAATGTTGGTTTTTGTAACCTCTGTAGAATAGGACTATTTTAATAAAATACAATAAGTAAACCAATAAATTAAAGCAGAACATGGAAATCTGGTAAGAATGGCTAGGTATTTTTGCTCTTTCTAGTGCATAAGCTGAGCTTTCTTTCAACTGTATTTTGGATATGGATGCTTAGCATAGACTTTGAGAGAGCTGGAACACTTGGTTTGATGTTGTCAAGATACTTCAAAGTCATCTCAACCCTTCATTGCCATGTTCATGCATAAGTTCCATGAAGTCTCACTGAATAGCGATCCTAAAAACTGAGTTATTTATAAATGAGTTACCAAAAGCTGTACTTGGGTCATTGTCACAGCTGGAATTAGAGCTCAGAAACTTCCATTTCCCAGTCAGGGTCAGAGAACCCCTTTCCTAGTAAAGATAAGAGCAACGGGTATTTATTACTTGTGCCTTCTCCTAGACATCCATTACTGGGGGGAAATTATATTCCCTCCATACTTGCTGACTGAAAGCAAGTAAGAAGATGTGTCTAGAGATCTTGACAAAATTGTTTTAAAAATAAATAAATAAATAAAAATTTTCGTTTTTAATTTTTACCAGCTGTAGTGTGGGAACTGTGGGTTGCAGACTCCAGGTGGCTCAGCATGTGAAAGAAGAACAGAGATTAATCAGGGTACTGTTTCAACAAAAAACATATTTTAAAGTTATGTTTAAAAAGCATGTTAGTACACCAGGCACCCTACACTTCACATATTGTAATAGCATCATTTATGATCTCTAAGCAGATGTGCTATCTAACCTGAACAGCATCTCAACATGAAGTGACTGCCAAGGCCTAGGAAATTAATTTTCTAGGTCCCTTCTCCTCCTCCTACTAACTTCAGGAAATTGGTCCCCTTCATCTGTCCATAACTTGCCTGCAGCTTTTTACTTTTTTTTTTTTTTTTCCCTTAATGTCCACCAAAATAACAATCTTTCAGAATCTCATCCAGCAATGAAGATAAAATAATGCAGACAAAGCAGAGGCAAAAAATAGAACAGATGTAAAATGACATTTGTTTCACTACATTTCTGGCACTACGTGGTGCCATGTAAGGCTATGAAACAGAAGTTTTGGCTAGGACTGTTTCTGTATTTCAAGACGGATCCTTCTAATAGCAAGCAGGCACTACTAATTTAATCTATTTCACTAGCTTCAGAAAGGACTTCTGCTGCTAATGGTCACCCTTCAAGGAATACTTCCTTCTTGAAGGTAAACAGAATGCTCAAGATTCGTTTGACTAGTAATATTGGCGGGAAAACCTAATTTACTGTTATTTGTTCCTCATCCTATTGCCTTTAGATCACTATATATTGGGGAAGAAGTCTGATAAAGTTAGTCTACTTGTCTGGTTTAAACCATTTAGAGGCTGTGTGTTGACATTTGTTTCTACTAGAAGAAATTTCTTCCAGTACAAAAATAACCTGGAAATTCCTCCAGTCCCGTGGCTGGAGAATTTGACAAGCCAGAGGGTACTAACGGGCTTCTTCCTGCCCTTAGGCAAGCCCATTAATTGACAGGCTGCCTTCTCCCTTGCCTGGGAAGGGGATGGGTTGAAAAGCAACAGCTGCCACAGAGCCAGGAAGGGTTTCAGCCCTGTCAGAATGCCCCACCATCTTGCCAGTCAGCTGATTGGCAGGAATGGGGCATTCTCTCATGGTGAGGGCTGACCTAGAGGAGTTGGAGTGGGGCAGAGGGGGAAGAAGGGAACACTCAGCCACTGTAGCAAGGCTCTGGAAACTTTGCTGCATGGGCACAGGAGCTTGCTTTATCCCACACTGTTCCAGCCTGACCTAGAGCGGAGCGAGGCAGGGACATTTTGACATGGCAGCAAGGTTTCTGAGCCTTAGTGCTGCAGTTCAGGAGCCTCCCTCTGTTCTGGGTCGAGCCAAGGTGAAGCTGGTAGGTCTGGGAGCCAAGCTTGGGAAAAGCCTCCACACACCAGGATGCTAGCCCCCCTGGCTTTTAAATTGCCACCCTGACAACTGATCAGTAGGAGAATGTGGGGTGAAGCCAATGCGGCCAAAAGCCAGGCTTACAAGTTCAGCTTACAACCCTCCCTGCTCTTGCTGCAAAATTTCAAATACTTTTTTTTGTTTATTTTGATGCAGTTAATGGATTTGAAGAAGGACCTTTAGTAAAATTACTATAAAATCCTTAAATCTGAGAGCTGCACATTAGTTAATAAATCTTGTTGAATTAGCACCTCGCAGGAAATGATGATTTAAGTGAAATGCTTTGCATGCATAAGTTGTCATCCTTATAGGTGTGAGTACAGCATGGTTTTTGTCTTTCAAATAGGATTCCATATATTGATTATGTAATTAAAATAACTGCACATGATCTTGAAGGTGTTATCTCTTTCATTTGGATGCATCTAGGCTTCTGAGAGAGTAGCATAACTTGTTATGTACAGTAGTGTGACCTTTCTGAAACTGATGTGCGGCCTGTAATTCTAAAATGGGAGGCCAGAATGTGCATTTGTCCCTTTTCTTCAAACAACAAAATCTAAGGATTGAAAAATATATAAATTTAGAAAATACATTGAAAATGTTTGTAAGGCTTTGGGAAGTCCTGGTCTTAGCCGGGGGGAGAAAGATGTGGGGTGGATGTCGTATACTTAGACTTCAGGAAGGCCTTCAATACGGTATCCCACCCCATACTGGTGAACAAATTAAGGGGCTGTGACTTGGATGACTACACAGTCCGGTGGGTGGCGAATTGGCTAGAGGGTCGCACCCAGAGACTCGTGGTGGATGGGTCGGTTTAAACCTGGAAGGGTGTGGGCAGTGGGGTCCCGCAGGGCTCGGTCCTTGGACCGATACTCTTCAATGTCTTCATCAGCGACTTGGACGAGGGAGTGAAGCGTACTCTGTCCAAGTTTGCGGATGACACAAAGCTATGGGGAGAAGTGGACACGCCGGAGGGCAGGGAACAGCTACAAGCAGACCTGGACAGGTTGGACAAATGGGCAGAAAACAACAGAATGCAGTTCAACAAGGAGAAATGCAAAGTGCTGCACCTAGGGAGGAAAAATGTCCAGCACACCTACAGCCTAGGGAATGACCTGCTGGGTGGCACGGAAGCGGAAAGGGATCTTGGAGTCCTAGTGGACTCCAAGATGAACATGAGTCAGCAGTGTGACCAAAGCCATCAGAAAAGCCAATGGCACTTTATCATGCATCAGCAGATGCATGACGAATAGATCCAAGGAGGAGATACTTCCCCTCTATCGGGCGCTGGTCAGACCGCAGTTGGAGTACTGCGTGCAATTCTGGGCACCGCA